TATTGAGTACTAGTTTTGATATTCCTTCAGGAATAATCTGAAAAAAGCAAAGTATCATCTTACTACTTCTACACCCTGTCTCTGAATGGTTCTTGACCTCTTATTCCTCCATTGTCAAGATTTATAATCTTATCCTCAATCTATCTTTCATATTCTTTTTTTAAGAGATTTTTTTGCTATAGGGTACAAGCAGGCACCAGAGAAATAGAGACACAGAGAGCAAGAAATCACCCAAGGGACATGGCTTTGCTAATTTAATCTATTTACTTTCGGTGTCTGTCAGTAAAACTGGAATAACCTAATACTTCACAAAATCATTGGGAGACTATGTGAGAATTTATATATTAGCTGTAAAAACATCATGGACTAGAACCAGCAGTTGTCGTAATGGCTGTGTCACTGGACTCCCATGTAGTCGACCGTGGTTCAAGTTCTGGACCCAGTGGCTTAAACTCACGCTGGGCGCATGTGCATACATGCCCAAGATCCTGAGAGGAGAATGGAGGAGAAGGGATTGCAGTGTGGCCATACCCCCTGAGGGGGGGCGATTTCTCACTTTCTATCTCTCTCTGTCTTTCTGGCAAGCACACACATGCCCTATTGCAAAAATCTCGCAAAAACAAACAAACAACAACAACAACAAAAAAACACCATGGACTCAATCTAATGAAAATGAACTATTATGTTTGTTATTTTTCACAAAAGTCTTAATCCTTCTTCTCTTTTCCAGTCAACGAATATTTATTAGATGCCTACGATCTCACCAATAATAGGGTAAGTGCCAGAAAAATGATCATGAAGAGAAGAGAGATCATTGTTTTCCTTCATGATCTTGTCCCGACTTTCATTAGAAGCATCCTAACCTAATACCTACTAAATGATCTCTGTGACTCCTACCTTGATTCTGTCATTTCTTCTGTAGTCCCTGACTTTGTTAATGTAATAAATTTACCTATCTATCTCTCATCCTTCTTTTTCTTTTCCCTAGTTCTATTGTTTGATTTTATTTCCTGGACTCTCTTGAATCATTCTGTCCCTCTGTCAAGTCCCCTAGCCGATCCCTTCATCTCTTCAGTATCTATCATCTTTACTAGGACTGAGAAACCTGTGATTTTTTAAAAAACTTACATTTGATTATGATCCTTTTTTAAAAATCATTCAATTTTTTAAATTTTTTTTTAATTTTAAAAATGTTTTTTATTATTATTCATACATTAAATCACTATACATCATTTAGATTGTGAAGAGACTTTACTCAGCTTTATATATACCTCAATCCAACCCAGCTGAGACCACCATACACATCCTCATCAACAGATAATAAACCTTATCTGTGTCCCTCAAGTGTCTTATCTCTCCGTTTCCCCCCCAAATTTCCTATACTCTTCACCGCCCACACTATTTCATGGAGTATATGTGCCACACTTTTTCAATCCATTCATCTGTTTGTGGACATTTAGGTTGGTTCCATGTCTTAGCAATCGTGAATAAGGCTGCAATGAATATAGAGGTGCAAGTGCTTTTTCAATTGAGCATTCTCCTGTCCTTTGAGTAGATACCCAGGAGTGGAATTTCTGGATCATATGGTAGTTTTATTTGTAGGTCTTTGAGGAACCTCTATGTCATTCTCCACAATGACTGGACCAATTTACATTCCCACCAGCAGTGCAGGAGTATTTCCCTTTCACCACATCCTCTCTAGCACTTATCATTATTATTATTTTTTTTTTAATCTTTGCCATTCTGACTGGAGTCAGGTGGTATCTCATTGTGGTTTTGATCTGCATCTCTCTTACAATGAGGGATGTTGAGCATTTTTTCATATGCTTTTGGTTATTCGTATGTCGTCCTTAGAGAGTTGTTTATTCAGCTCATTTTCTCATCTTTTATTTGGATTAATCATTTTCTTCTGGGTAAGCTGCTTGCGGTCTCTGTGTATTCTGGTTATCAGTCCCTTATCTGAGGCACAGTTAACAAAAATTCTCTCCCATCCTGAGTGTTGTCGATTTACACTAATTAGTGTCCTTTACTGTGCAGAAACTCCTTAATCTGATGTAATCCTACCTGTCTATTTGGGGAATTATTTCAATTTTTTAATTTTTCATCCATTTAGGACAACATTGGTACTTACCAAATCCACTGGAAGATGTACAAAGCCTTTTATGAACTGACCTCCCAGCCTCATCTATGCCTTTCGCATTTGCTGTACTCAGGGGTTTTTGCTTTTATGGCTTTGGATCTGTCATTCTTTCTCTCATCCACCTGCCTAAAATTTATGTGTCTTGGGGTCAGCAGGTAGAGTGGTGGTTAAGGTACTGGACTCCCCTATGGTCAATCATGGTTCAAATCCCAGAGCTGGCATCTTGAAAATCACTCCAGGCATGTGTGCATTCATTTTTGTGTACCAAAGATCCTGAGAGAAGAATGAAGGAGAAGGAATTGGGGCATGGCTATCTCCCATGGTGAGGGAAGAGTTGATCTCTCACTTTCCCACTCATTTTCTCTCTCTGTCAAGTGTATGTGTCCTATGGCAAAAATCTAAAAAACAAACAAACAAGAAAAATAATTTGCCTATCTTTCAAGATTCTACTCAACATCATCTCTAGGAAAATTTCCCCAATGTGTGTCCTTACCCTCCCTGTTGCTGGCAGGATGTCTGTCATACACAAATCATGCTGCTGTGGTGACCTGTTGACTTACCTCTTTCATACTGGTTTCTGCTGCCTTTTTTTTTTTTTTTTTGGTTGTCTGTTTTATGGTTTTTGACATAGGGCATGTGTGCTCACCAGAGAGAGACAGAGAGAGAGAATCAAAGTGAGAAATCACCTTCCAGCAGATGGCCATGCCACAATCTCTTCTCTGTTCTTCTCCTGGGATTTTGGGCACACTTGCACACATGGTCAGAATGAGTTTCAAGGCACCAGGTCCCAGACTCGAACTGTGGTTGACAATGTGTGAGTCCAGCGCCTTAACTACTATGCCACCTGCTGGGCCTTAGTAGTCTCTGCTTCTTGAAAGCAAGGGCTTTCTTGAATTTTGTAGCCACAGTCTAGCACAACATTTGGCGTATAAGAAATTATACAACAATAATTGTGTGGTTCTGCAACTTCTTATATTAAGTCTTCATACAAGTGAAAAAGTTCAAGCAGTCATTTTATTCTTCACTTGAAGTTCTGCATGCGAAACCTCAGAAGTATTGGTCTCTCACTTTTATGGGCAATGTACATGATCATTGAGTATGATGTATAATTTGGAACAAAAGTGCCTATTCAATACCAAAAAGAATACAGATTACACTCATTAGAAATAGTATGTAGAACTAAGTTCTGCCTGTTATATTTATTAAGCTTAAAATTTCCAGCCAAAGTCCAGAGAATCCATCTTAGAACTTGTTTTATTTTTATTAGCTAATTAATTTTATTTATTTATTTTTGCCATAAGGTGTGCGTGCTCATCAGAGAGAGGGAAAGTGAGAAATTACCCCTCTGAATGCATGGCCATGTCACAATCCTTTCTCCTCCATTCGCCTCCTGGGATTTTGGACAGGCATGTACACTCGCCTGGTGTCATTTTCAAGCTGCTGGGTTCAAGACTCGAACCCAAATTGGTCATTTGGCTTAACCACTGTGCCACCTGCTTAAATTTGGTAATAAACTTGGAAGAGAAGCTGAATAAAGGGGGCAACATCAATCTTCATCGCTGTAAATGACATTCCTTCTAAAATATGTTTAGGCAGTAAGGAGAGCAGGCATATTCTCTCCCTGCCCCCTGCAAATGACATGAGTGGCTCTGATGGCATATGGTGTGTGAGTTTTTCCTTTTTGCTTTCAATCCCATTGGCCCTTATTAGGGTTTAGTAAACTTCTTACTTTATTCTTAAGGTCAACTGCAGGCAATATTTCATTAAACCAAATACTGCTTTTTTTAAAAAAACTCAAGGACCTATCTCTATAAATTTTCTAGAGATACTTGAAGTAAAACTAATAACACAGTTACTTTTTTGCTATTAGATTTTGTATTTATGTGAGCTACTGAACTAGTTGTTATATAATAACAAGTTAAAACCTCTTGATTCTCTTGTCTTTATGGGTTCAGAATTCACAGATATTATCAGGTGAACAAATCTGGGAGAATGCTCATTTACTCATTGGTGGAGCTGTTTTATTAATTGGTTTAGTTGGAGTAATGGTTCACAGCTTGAAGGCAAACAGTATAATATTAAGGCTCCTATTTTAAATGTATACCTGATTGTACCTATCAGTATATCTTGTCTTCTTATTAAAGCCCTACACTACCACCACCACCCCTTTATTTATTTTTTATTTATTTATTTTTAGAGAGATTTTTGCTACAGGGTGTATGTGCTCACCAGAGAGACAGAAATAGAGAGATAGAGATAGAAGAAATCACTTCCCAGGGAAGATGGCCACACTGCAATCCCGTCTCCTCCATTCACTTCTCGGAATTTTGGTCTTAATGTTTTTTTTAATTTAAATAATTATTTGATTTTATTCATTGTCATTATTTTATTTTATTTTTTTAAAGTTGACCAGAGAGAGACAGAGAGAGAGAAGGAAGGTGAGAAAGTAAACTGCCAGGCCTGGGACTCGAAACACAGTCAGCCATGTGGGAGTCTAGCACCTTAACCCCCATGCCACCTACCGACCTTGATAGTCTCCATTTTTAACTTAAAATATCTTTGTAAAAATTAATTCTATCCATGTCACATGGTAGATATTAGCTAGAGGTTACAAATAATGTATTATGTACTTGAGTGAAATCCCCAATATTTTGCAGCCCCAGTAGCTTATAGTTAATTATAAGAATTGTTTTCTCCCAAAAGTATAATTTTTTTGAGGATAGGATAGCTTTTTGTGTTCTTGTTAACCATAAGAATACATTGTTAGTAACTTACACTCAGCTATTGATTGAATGAACGAATTGAATTGTACCTGTAGGAATGAATAACTACTAATATCATTTATTGTTTCTATTTATAGGTATTACCATTTCAAGAAACCTTCTTGTCTGCAAATCTATGATAAAAGATATAGGTAACAGAGGAAATCATACCTGTTATTTGTCAGTTGACAAGTTTTATATGTCAGAATGACTCACCTAAAGCGACTAGTAAAATTACATATTAAAAGACATTACCATAAAAAGTTCTGGAAACTTGGCGGAGTGATTTTATTTTTTATAGTAGTTTTGATTTTAATGCAAAGAGAAGTAAGTGTTCAATATTCCAAAGAGGAGTCAATAATGGAAAAAAGCATGAAAAACAAAAACAAGGTGTTTGATTTAATGCTGGAAGCTGTAAACAATATTAAAGATGCAATGCCAAAAATGCAAATAGGAGCACCTGTCAGGCAAAACATTGATGTTGGTGAGAGACCCTGTTTCCAAGGATATTATACAGCAGCTGAATTGAAACCCGTCCTTGACCGCCCACCGCAGGATTCTAATGCACCTGGTGCTTCTGGTAAAGCATTCAAGCCAATCAATTTAAGTACTGAAGAGCAAAATGAAAAAGAACGTGGTGAAGCAAAACACTGTTTTAATGCTTTTGCAAGTGACAGGATTTCTTTACACCGAGATCTTGGACCAGACACTCGACCTCCTGAGTATGTTTTACTGTTTATCACTAGAGCTTGAGGAGAGAGGCATTAGCTAAGGAAGTTACTAGTTCTTTAGCCACTTTGAGGCAGAAAATCAGCAAATATTGGTTCATTTGTTTGTTGTTGTTGTTTTTCTTACAGTTGCTGGGCCTAGATATCAATATCTATGCTCAATGGGACATTGCATGTGTGAAAAGTTATTAGTTTAGAGATTAGCAAAACTGACTGCTAGATCTGACCTCTGTCCACAAAGAAATCCTTTATTCTTTGTTCTTGTTAAGTTTATTTCCTGAGAGATAAAGAGAAAGAGAGGGAGAGAGAGGCACCCTCGACAGAGTCTTCATGCCCCAATCCTCCTCCCAACTCCTGCATCCAGCCAGGAATGGGAACACGCCCAGTGTGCGAAGGTAAACCCAGGGTGCAAACCCAGAGCCTTCTTGTATGGCCTCCAGCATCATGAAGTGGTGCCTGTACTGCCCGTGCCACTCTTGAGGTCCAGAAATAATTCTTTTTTATTTCTTTTTCTTTCCTTTTTTTTTTTCTTCCTGCTGTAGGGTATGAGCACTCGGCCGAGACAGACACTGAGGGGATGGAAGAATGAGAATTCCCTCCTGCCAGGGAGGATGGCCACACCACAATCCTTTCTCCTCCATTCTCTTCTCTGGATTTTGGGCATGTAGGCTTGTGGGCTCGTTTGATTTTTCAAGCTGCTGGATCCAGAATTTGAAACATGAGATGACCATGTAGGATCTAGCTGCCTTAAAATCCATATCACCTGACTGGTTTGGAAATCCTTTGTTCTTAAATGCTGTGAGAGCACAAGTCTAACTTTACACATCCTATAAATTAGCACCTAACTGGGGCTACATATCCTACTGCAGTCATTTAATAGATACATTTTGTTTTCCTGAAACAAACTGACTTATAAAAAAAAGTTTCAGGAAAACCCAGAGCCTTCTTGTATGGCCTCCAGCATCATGAAGTGGTGCCTGTACTGCCCGTGCCACTCTTGAGGTCCAGAAGTAATTCTTTTTTATTTCTTTTTCTTTCCTTTTTTTTTTTCTTCCTGCTGTAGGGTATGAGCACTCGGCCGAGACAGACACTGAGGGGATGGAAGAATGAGAATTCCCTCCTGCCAGGGAGGATGGCCACACCACAATCCTTTCTCCTCCATTCTCTTCTCTGGATTTTGGGCATGTAGGCTTGTGGGCTCGTTTGATTTTTCAAGCTGCTGGATCCAGAATTTGAAACATGAGATGACCATGTAGGATCTAGCTGCCTTAAAATCCATATCACCTGACTGGTTTGGAAATCCTTTGTTCTTAAATGCTGTGATTTCCTTACCTATTTAGTAAGAAATAATGACCATTATTAATGAGATGTGTGGTAGGTGGAGGAGTTATTTTTGTTCCTCTATGTATTGCTATAGAGTACAATTATTAGGGGAAAAAAATATCAAAATTTTGGAGATATTAGGTATTGATTGATTGAGGAGTGGACTCTTGACAGGGTCTTGTGACACTATGCTCCTTCCCACAGGCCAGAACCATGGGTATACCCACAGGTATGCTTGGCATGTTGAGATTGACCTGAGATCCCAGGCCAAGTCTCTCCCATGCATAAGACTCCAGTATTTCCCAGCAGCACCTCACTGCCTGCATCATGGCAGCTAGGCCAGAAGTAATGTTTCTGGACTTTATCAGCTAAGTCACACACTTTGTGACTGCTTTCAGAGCGTAATCATATTGCAGGATGCATTATATTTTACAAACTTTCTCTTAAAGGAGAAAATTGTTCCTATTACTATTGCAATTATATTTATTTCTAGGACTTTGCTGATTATGTTCTCCTAGCTATAGAATTGTCTTCCTTTACCTACCGAGAGACCCATGTTCCTCTTTATTAGGTCCCTGTGTTAACATGATTGTCTCAAAGTACATAAGAGTTTGATTAATATTCCCCTCCAGGATCAACTATGTTGTCTTTGTCCTTAGTGAAACATTCTGTTACCTGTAGTATTGTTCAAATATCATGTTTGAACTTTAATGTACTCATGAATTCTAATGCCTTCAAGCCACTGGGATATTTTTGAGAGTGTAAGATACACAGGGTATAAGCAAATGGTGCCTACACATTTTGCTATCTATCTGTAATAGAACTACATTTGGCAGTGACCTGAAGAAAAGGACTTTTGTCTATGGCCTCACTCAGACTTTTCTAGATTTATGATTATGAATACCTGCTCTTAACTATGTGAGTCACTTAATGTTGATCAGATTGGTAAGACTTCTGTCACTATTCTAATGTGTGCAATCCATGCTTAAATTGCTTATTATTTTTAAATGAACATATTCAGAGACAAATGAATATCTATAAAAATATTCTAGCTATTATAACAGGGTACAGTATATTTCCTGTTTTATATTAATAGATTCAACTACATTGTTGTACTTCACTGATTTTGGGAAAGATCTTGACCGAAAAGCAATCTACCTCAAAAACAAAAATGCAGGATTTTTATTCTTTGATCATGTCAGGCCAAGATGAGCTTTTTTCCCAATACAGCATTAAAGAACTAGTATAATCTTTCACTCATATTAATCATGAAAAAATGAAAGTGAAAAACAACCAAGTACATTAAGAACATTTTTTTTTTTGGTTAGAAATTAAGATTTAATTGTTTCCTACTTTTGATAGGGTTTTGTAGAGGTGATAAATTTAATTGTGTCTTACTTTGAATGTAATCTGTATCACCAAGGAACATATTTTCCGAAGAATTGCTAGACTTTTCCGTGCTCCTTAGAAATACAGATCTAGCTTCTCCTAAAACCAGATGGTTGTATGACTGATAACTGAAGTTCTTATATGCCAGATTTTTCAAATGGATTGACTGTTTTGGCAAGTTACTTTAATTGCACTATTTTAAATGACATTCAAAATGATTTTAAAGCACAAATTTAACATGTTAATTGTTTCAAAATGAATGGAGTTTATGAAATCATACTGTGAAATTTCATCACTTGCATTAATGATCTAACATGACATTTTGCTTGCTATTAGTAGTTTTCATTTAAGCAAATTAATCCTAGCTTAAACTGAAAGAAATCTAGCAATATTAAAGTAATAGTGTTTTGCTAGCATGATTTTTTTGTGTGCAGTTTTATGCTTTAAATTTTTGAAACTTTTAAAATAATTCTTGATTAATATAGTATTAATGAACTACATGCACACAAATGTAGTAAAAACAATTTTCTACTCCCAGAATTCTACTCTTTCAGAATGCCTGAAGGTCTAGTGGTTAAGGTCCCAATGACTGACCAAGTTACAAGTCCTAGTCCTGGCAGCTTACAAAAGCATATGTGGGGTCAGCCGGTGGTTTGGTGGTTGAGGTGCTGGACTCCCACATGGCCAATCACAATTTGAGTCCCATCCCCAGCAGCTTGCTTTCTCTCTTCATCTCCCTCTGGTGATTATGCATTACTTATCACAAATTTTAAATAATAATGATAAATACAATTTAAAAAATTAAAATAAAAAGTGCATGCATGACCAAACTCTGGACAGGATAAATAAATGGAGGAAAGGAATTGCAGTGTGACCAAACCCTACTGGAGGCTGCTTTCTCCCTCTCTTTGTTTCTGACCAGTGCACGCACACCCTTTGTCAATTATATAAAAAAAAAAAAAAATTAAAAAATTGCTCTCCAAAATACTTGTAAGAGTTTTTTTCCTTAAACAAAACATAAATAAAATAAAATAATAATAAAGAAAAGAAAATAGCATATGATGGAGTTTCTTATTTTTCTATGGTTTATGTTGGTTTATCAGCCTTTATGTGATTAAAAATATAAGCTTATATATAGCCACTTATTTCTACGTAATTATGGCTCAATATACGAACAATTTGTGTTTGAGCTTTATTTTTTATTTGGTATTTTATCTGAAATTCAACTTAGAATAAATGCTTTGCTTTCGTCTATCATTGAGAAGAATGTGATTATTTCCTACTGACTCTGCATTTGTATTACACTTTGAACTAGAACCACCTTGTCTCAGACAATGTTTTAGACACCTCTTTTACTCTTAATTCAAGTCCTTTTTTCCCACTACCAATATTTACCCCTAAAAGCCTACTATTACAAAAGGATCTCAAAAATATTCCTATTGAAGTATGGCTATAAAAATAACCAGTGAGAAGGAGAAGGTTCTGGGCGGAGTCAGACAGCGATGCAAAAGTATAATACAAGGCTCTTGGAGGCAATCCACCTGGGAAGTCCAGCGGCTTCCCTGAGTATTCCAGGCACAAACAGGCCCATAATCTGCTGCTGCTGAAGGCTGAGGGTGGATTATGGCATTAGGACTTTTTTGGGAGTGCTCTCTCTCTCTCTGTTTTCTCTCTCTTTGTCTCCCTGTCTTACAGAAGAAATAAATAAGCTATTAAAAAACCTGGGGAAATAATAATAAAAAAAAAATTTTCCTTGCAGAGATACAAATTACAATGTCAGGGATGAAAACTACAGGGGATGGAAATGAACATAGATTATACATCTACATCACAAAAGAAAAGATCTGTAAAGTTGAACTATCAGTGAAATGTGAGAAAACCTCAAGTAACTAATAATATGGGGGGAATCTTCAAAAAGTTCAAGGAAAATGTGTATTATAAAAACGTCAAGAGTGTATTTTAAATTTTTGCACCAAAATAAGCTCACATTTTAATTTTCAAAAATAAAAAAAAAAACAGTGAGAGAAATTGTAGATCTTTTTCAGCATGTTATTCCCAGACCTCTAGTGTCACACTGAGGGCAGTTTTCCCCACTGGCCTTGGCAAAGCAGCTACAATGTAGAGATGAATGTGGGCCTCTTATCTCTGCATGTAAATAATTTACTTTCTTATCTTTGAGTTTGAGAAGCACTGTTTTGTTGTTCACACATTGCATGCGCAATGTCTTTTGACAGTATAAGAGAATTTTAAGGTCTGTTTTCTAAAATCATACAGCCAAACTTTTTTTTTTTAGAGGTTTTTGCCTTGGGACATGAGCACTGGCTGGGGAGAGAGAGACAGACAGAGTGAGAGGGAAAGTGAGAAATCACCCTTGGTGGGGATGGCTTCCTCAATCCCTTCCCCTCTATTCTTCTCCCAGGATCTTGGATTCACATAGACACATGCCTGGCATGATTTTCAAGCCACCAGGCCTGAGACTCAAAACTGCCATGTGGAAATCCAGTGACGTAACCTCTATGCCTTCTGCTGAGTCTGCCATTTATGATTTTTAAGTGACCTTAAAGATAGAGTTCCTTTATTTGTTTATATTGATAGACCACACATGGTTTATTTTGTTTATTTATCCAGTGTTTTGAATCCCTCTTTTATGTGTTACTTCATTTGATCCTCTCCTCAACTCAAAGGCTGGAGACTGTACAGACCCACCCACACCTAAGTAGCTTAACATAAAGATTGTTTTCATTGAGAAGTTCACTGTTATAAAAGTGAATTAAAGATCTATGTGTAACTAGTGTTTTCAGCTAACAGGTAATACCACTGACCATAACAGAGTACTTCGGATCTCCCTCTCTATGCCTATCAATGTTTCAGATGATGATAAAAGCACACATAGATTTAGTTTTATTTTTAAAATTATGAATATGTTTCCAAAAGCATTTTTAAAGAATAATTTTATTTAACTTTATATATTTATTTTAATTTGACCAGAGAGGAACAGAGGAGGGGGGGGAGAGTGAGAAAGCAAGCTGCAAGGTCCGGGACTCAAACCGTAGTCAGTCATATGGGAGTCCAGTGCCCTTAACCACCACACCACCAGCTGGCCCCTTAAAATAAATTTTTAAGTGCTAAGTCTTAAAACTGCTTATCAAATTATTGGAACACCATGGCAAGTGGTAGTAGGTACTAGGTAGCTGCTTAATAATGAACATCTTATAAACGTAGGTTTTATGGTTATTTTTTCTTTGGGATTCATGATTAAATAAATTTGATATATGCTTAGAAAACACATTTTACGTATTTAAGGATGTATCTAAGTTAATCTCTACAAATATGAGTATTCATTGAATAAAGTCGCATAATTTTTTTAGTTGCAAGTAAGAAAAAAATGGATGATTTCCGTAGGAAAGAAGAAAGATTTGGTTCTTATTTGAGGGATTACAAGGATTTATCAGTTTTACATGTCTCACTTGTAGGTTATTTTTATTATTTAAAGTGTTTTATTTGACTTAAAGTAGCACTGTTGAGAAAGCTAGCAATGATGAGTCGTAACCCATGACATGTTGTGATCTGTATTGGTGGCCATGATCTTTGAGTGAACGATTTGCTTTAAAAATATTGTTTTGATTTATTTACATTTATATGGTGGTAAGAATATCTAATGTAGAACTGTTTACTATATTGTTTTTTAGTGATTGAGATTGAATAATTACTTTAGCAAGAGCATAACTGTGTAATAAAATAATAAATTTCACAGTTGTCCTAAATCTTTGGCTTCTTCTAGATGTATTGAACAAAAATTTAAGCGCTGCCCTGCTCTGCCTACGACCAGTGTCATAATAGTGTTTCATAATGAAGCATGGTCCACACTGCTCAGAACTGTCCACAGCGTGCTCTATTCCTCTCCTGCCATCCTGAATCATTTTGGTGGATGATGCTAGTGTAGATGGTAAGAAAGCGCATGCGGAGTTTCCCTAATAAAGCCTTGTGGTGGTATCTAAAGTCCGCCTGGTTACGTTGTGTTCCCTCTATACCTTCTCAATGCATGAATATAAGAGTTTGGATAGTGTGTTTGATGGATGAAAGTAGAATGCAAGGGTATCCATATTCAGATGTTTTGGAGTGCAGAAATGAGTATAAAACACCATACAGTGCACAACTATATGTAATTCTTAATATGAGACTTTCACTGTAAGACATGGTGACTAAGAGCATAAATGTGAGCTTTGAGGCAGGTTGCCTTGATTAGAATCCTAGCTCTCTCATCATAGCTATGTAAAGTGGGGAAGTTACTTAACTTCTCTGCCTCAGTTTCTTTAGTGGTAAAAGGGAGGTAATGCCATATTTTATCAAATTTCTTATAAGATATGTCATTAGTTTATAATCCACTAGACAGAACAGAACCACTGCCAATGAAACTAACATTTACTTGATTATAAGAAGTATCTAGTTGTGTAGCTTAGAATTCGGGAAATACAGAAATAGGGTATATCTCTAAGGCTGAGTTAATATAAATAACATATTAGTTAAAAATGTAAATGAGTAGTTAAATGATACTAAAAAAAGTCCCTACATTCTGTTTTATTTTTGCTTTTTTAAATATTGGGTCATCAGGAAAGTTAGGATACATTTTTGCATAGAAAAACAGAAAAATAACCTCATGACTTTTCCAATGAACTAGTATTTCAATATTATGTTCCCATTATTTTACACATTTCTATTTACTAGACATGCACCTGGCACAACTTTAAGCTGCCAGGTCCAGGACTTGAACTGAAGTCAACTACATGGGAGTCCATCTTCTAGTCCCTAGCTTTGTACTCTTAAGCTCCCAAAAAGAAGAGGGTGGAGGAGTGAGAAAGCAAGCTGCCAGGTCCAGGACCCAAACTGTAGTCAGTCATATAGGAGCCCAGCAGATGGTGTAATGGCTACATCACTGGACTCCCACATAGTTGAACCATGGTGGTTTAAGTCCCAGTCCCAGCAGCTTAAAAAACTCATGCTTGGCACATGTGCATGGGTGCCCAAGATCTCAAGAGGAGAATGGAGGAGAAGGGATTGTGGCGTGGCCATCGCCCCGAGGGACGATTTCTTGCTTTCTGTCTGTCTTTCTGTGGTGCACACATGCACCCTATAGCAACAACCTTTCAACAAAAAACAAAAAACAAAAAAAAAAAGAAGAAGAAAAAAAGAAGAAGGTGGATGTGGGCTAAATGTAGGGATCAGATAAGCATTTACAGAAAGTTAAGTGGTGGGTAAGTTAAAATTTTCTTAACCAATTCTAACTTGGCAAGAACTAATTGAAGAACTCTATTATTACATTTGTAAAAAATCATCCTTCATAAAAGTCTTTCAAGTTCTGTTGCTTACAGCAGTGGACATTTATAGTTGTGTTTTAAAGACAAATAACAGCATCACTTGTCTTTTAGGAAATTATGTCTGAGAGGCTTAGAAGGTGCTTTAAAAGCTGATCTATTACTCTGAAGCCACAGTAGTTAGATCGATTTATTTTTCCCATAAATATTATTCCTGGACTGTCACCTCTTATGAATGTTCAAGTTTTTTCTTTTAAATAATTATTTTATTTAACTTTATTCTTTTATTTTAATTTTATCAGAGAGGGCCAGAATAAGAGAGGGAGAAAGAGAGAGAGAAAGAGAAAGTGAGAAATCAGGCCCCCAGGTCCAGGACTTGAGCCACAGTCGGTCATGTGGGAGTCCAGTGCCCTTAATCATCACGCCACCTGCTGGCCCCATGAATGTTTAAGTTTTAAATAAGCAACTCTCTTATCTACTCTACTGGTAAATTGAAAAACAAAACAGAAATGTCATCACAGATAAAACCAAAGTCATCTGCATTTTCTTCTGAAATCTGACAGAAGCAGACATTTATGCCTGGACATTTATTGACTTTCCCAATTTTCTCAAATCTTTTTGAGGCTCTGCCCAAGATGACCACTTGAAAATTATACTCCAGAGTATAATAGTAAAATCAAGAATTTAGTGGTGAAAAAACAAGCTTAAGAAGTTGTTTACAAACATGAACAAAACTTGATTGACTTTAGTTAGTGGATTTTACTTTCACCCACTCAATTTTTGCTTACTGTGTATCTCATCTGAATTAGAATATAAATATCTTAAATTATACATTCGTGACTCATTTTATATGTTTAGAACCTCTCTTTTGATTTACATGCTGCTTTTTACTTTCATGTTTTCACTGGAAAAAATTTTGTCAGGAGGATCCAAAGCTTTCAAAGATTTTCTGCTGACTCTTTGTAAAAATATTCCCGGAAGAATGTGTGCAACTATTGATTATGAATTTGGAAGTCTCATTGCCCTGTGGTTTAATTAACTTTCATATGTCACATAGGAAAATAAATATAGAAGCAGCTAATCTTGATTTCTTTTTCATTACAGAGTACTTACATGATAAACTGGAACGGATTTGCATATACAGCTCCCCAGCTCTCCGCCCCCAACCAGTAAAGAGTTAAAAGAGAATTTTCTTCCAACTGGAAGAATGTGTGCAACTATTGATTATGAATTTGGAAGTCTCATTGCCCTGTGGTTTAATTAACTTTCATATGTCACATATGAAAATAAATATAGAAGCAGCTAATCTTGATTTCTTTTTCATTACAGAGTACTTACATGATAAACTGGAACAATATATAAAACAATTTTCTATAGTAAAAATAGTCAGACAAAAAGAAAGGAAAGGTCTGATCACAGCTCGGTTGCTAGGAGCCACTGTAGCAACAGCTGAAACGCTCACATTTTTAGATGCTCACTGTAAGTATACAAGAGTAGACATAGTTGTAACATTTTCCTCCCCCTTCCTCTAGTTTAAAGGTAAGGAACCCTTTCTTTAAATGTGCAACTGAATTTTCTTCGACAGTATTTTCAGCTGGTGATTATAGCAGTGACGGTTCAGGCAGATAACAGCTCTGCCCAAGAGCATCCTATCACTCTATACAGAGTCCGTACCACCTTTGGTTTAAGGCTCCAACATTATTGACCTCTTCCAGCTTCCCCAGCAAATT